TCGGTGGTGGGGGGGGGGGGGGGGGGCGGGCTGTGTGTGCAGCCTGGGCAGCTAAGGGATGGAGAATACACCACGGCCCTAGGACACTTGTTCCAGTAGCTCCTTATGCTCACTGCACCTTATTTCAAGTCTGAATGAGTCTAGATGCAGCTTCCAGTCACTGGATGGTGGTTCGCCTTCATTAGATTGAAGAACCCCTGGCTAACAACAATCTCCTCCCCAGGCAGGTAACTGGACAACAGTCCAGTCATCTCTCATGTAAACTAAACAGATTAGGCTTCTTCAGCCTCTCAGTGTTAGGCCGGTTTTCCAGACCTCAGATCACTTGTGTAGCTCTTCTCTGAACCCTTTCCAATTTATCAACATCCTTCTGGAAATGTGGACCCCAGAACTGGACCCAACATACAGTACCAGCCCCGCTAATGCCACAGACAGTGGTAACACCACCTCTCCACTCCTACTCGATATTGCCCTGCGCATCCATCCAAGGATCACAGCCACTCTTAGCTCCAGCCTCGCGCTGGGAGCTCATGTTCAGTGGGCTGTCTAGCATGATCCCAAAGTCCTTTCCAGGATCCAGTCCCTCATCTCACAAATGTGACCTGCGCTCTTGGTTCCGAGACTCATAGTTTAAGGTCACACAGGACCATTAGTTTATCTCATCTAACCTCCTGTATAGCACAAGCCAGGGAACCTCACCCAGTTCCCCCAGATCGAGCCAGTAACTTGTGTTTGACTGAAGCACCTGCCAGAAAGGCACCAGTCTGGATCTGAAGCCATCGAGAGATGGTGAGTCCACCGCTACCCTTGGGAGTTTGTTCCAAGGGCTAAACCCCCACTCTGAGAACAACATGTGCCTGGGTTTTCTCATGTGAATGTGTCTGGTTTAATCTTCCAGCCATCGGCTCTGGTTCTGCCTTTTCCCCTACATTAAAGAGCCCCGCTTTGGTACACACAATTTTCTCCCCTGGAAGGTGTAATGAGTGGGAATTTTGTGTAATATTTTTGAGTCCTGTTTGCACCCTGTGTGCTGCATTGTTACCCAGGGGGTGGGAATGAGCTGTTTGTTCTCAGGGCAGGCGAAGAGACAGATCTGGTTGTCGCTCGGCTGTCTGGGTCTTGGTCCTCACATCAATAGAGCCTCTCTCTGAAGATACAAGGGTAGATCCAATCGCTCCGACATGGACACATAGCAAGCAATGCCTCAGCGGGACAGGGACTTCCCCACCTCTCTGCAGGAAGGCGGAGTGGCATTTCCCCAGCTTAGGTACAGCAGAGGTGTGAGGTGGGGGATAAGTACTGGCTGCTGGGAAGAGTCAGGGGTCTCACCTGGAGTCTAACGAGGAGGTCAGGTGGAGAGACAGACAGAGCTTGAACAATGGGGTTCAGTAGAGCTTGGCTGGGCTCTAACCTTCAGTTCTCTCTGCTAACGTAAGGACTTCCTATGCTGCATTGCCATTGACTAATAAACCCGACTGTTCTGGCAGCTCTGTGAGAATGTCGCTGCAGATGCTGGAGAGGTGCATTAATCCCTGTGGAGTGGACAAGTCTCCACTGGGGTCTGTCTCAGTTGAACTTGCTGAATGGAGCTCGTGTGGTGAAGCAGGCATGTTGCAGGCCCAGAGGTCTGGTCTAAGGAGGCGGTGAAGCCATGTGACTTATACAGGAGGAAGAGTGAGACCCCTTGGGGGGTCTAGCACACTGAAGGGTTCCTCCAGGGACTGTTCAAAAGCTAGGGCCATAGCACCAATCCTGTGGATCAATGACAGGTGGTGGCAGCGGTGGGATGCTGAACGCTCCAGTAGCATTTTGCAAGAAGTGACTTGCAGCAGTAAAACCAGGCTAGTTAGAGGAAGCAGCAAGAAAATGGTGTATAAGCACCTCCCTAAGAAGGGCACTGCAAACGAGTGCAGGGAGAGAGGGTTAAGCGTTGGGAAGCTCAACAAGGCGCAGCGGATTGCAGGGCTGGAGAAGGATGATCAATCCAAGAAGCAGGTTCCAGACCCACGCAGGGTTCCAAGAGGGTCTGAGAGTGACAAAGGCAGTAGCAGAGGCAGCAGCAGGTGTCCTGAAGACCCGGTTCCCCGTCCAGCCGTAGGTCTTCACAACCTGACTCCCCATTGATAGATCTGAAGCGGTGGGAGTTGGAACTGAAAGCAAAGGACCCGCTTGCGGCCCCATCAGCACAGAGCAGCGGCCCATGTAACATCCTCAGGGCCTCCAACGAGTGCAACTTACCAACTGATCCTGACTGCTCTGGATAAACGACCAGTCCCCAGCAGCATTTGCCAAGCCCCTATTTTGGGGCAGCTCCAATTTTACCAGTCCCGATTTTATATTTTCTTCCAGATCACGGATACAGGCATTGAATGGCACTGAGGCAAGAACAGATCCCTGCAGGACCCACTAGAAACTCCCTCACTGGATGACATTTCATGTTTCCTGAACTGATAGGTCAGTAGACCACTTCTTAAAGCAATTTCAGAGGGTGTAACAGGGTGCTTGGAGGATTGGGCGGCCTAGTGGTTGACGCGCCTGCCTTCCAGCCCCTTGCTTCCCTGGCCAAGGTGTCTCAGTCCTTAAAGGACCCGGGTGCTCCCTCTCCACTGGGTCCCAGCCCAGGGCCACGCGTGAAGCTGTCCCCAAACAGGGAGCTCCCAGCAGAGAGTCCACTGCCCTGGGCTACTCCCTACCGCTGCGGCCTCTCTAGTCCAAACCATTTTAGAGGCTTAACTCAAGTAGCGCTCCCCATGGACCATGGGCATCCTGCCATGGCCTCAGGTTCCTCCGGGCAGAGGCCTGTAAGTTTGCCAGGTTCTCTTTTTCTTCCCCTCCAGGCCTGGTGTTGGCTGCAGCTACAGTGGGGCAGGCCTGGCTGGGCCCACAGGCTCGCCCGCTTTTTCTGTGCTCGTGGGAGGTTTCGCAGCTTCATCACACGTGGGCTACACTGATGGTGCATAGCGCTGGTTTTTAATCCGAACATTGTGTGGGCCTAAGTCCAGCGCCTTGGAGAAGTCTCAGTGCGTTAACTTACAGTTACCTTTAGCATCCAAACTTGTGACCTCAAAAAACACAAGTTTGTCTGACCAGACCTATCTGCCATAAAACCATGTTGATTGGTGTTAATCATGCTATGGTCCTTCAGTTCTTTACTGACTGTAACCCGTATCAGCCTTCTCATGATTTTGCCCAGGATCAATGTCAGCCTATGGTTACCTGGGTCATCCTATTTACTCTTCTTAAATCCTAGCACAACACTGTCTGTTTTCCAGTCCTTTAAAAAGCGACAGAGTCCTGTGGCACCTTATAGACTAACAGACGTATTGGAGCATAAGCTTTCGTGGGTGAATACCCACTTTGGTGCTTCCGAGATTTGAGAAACAACATTCATGGTTCAGAAAACTCCTCAGCCAATTCTTTAATACTCTTGGACACAAGTTATCTGTCCCTGATGATTTAGAAATGTTTAACTAGAGTAGCTGCTGCTTAACATCCTCTCTAACTATTGATGGAACACAAACTATTTCATTGTTACTCTCATATACGACTAGAACATCCTGCTTTTTTCCAAATACCGAACAGGAACAGCCACTGAATACTTCTGCCTTTTCTGCATCATGATAGATTGTTATGAGACAAGGATGGTAAAATGACCTAGACCCCTGCTAGGATTCTGTTTGTTCCTGGTATTTTTTTTTAAATATATTTTTTTATTTCTACTGGACATAAGCTTTTCATGATACTGTTAGCTTCCTTTATCAATTGTCTGCCTTTCCTCACTGCTACCACGAGCTCTCCATGGGGATGATTCATAGATTCACAGAGTTTAAGGGTCCATTAGATCATCTAGCCTGGCCTACTGTATATCACAGACCAGAGAATTTCACCTAGGTACCCCGGCATTGAGCCCAGTGACTTGTGTTTGACTAAAGCATAACCTGTGGAGGGCGAGGACAGAGTTCTGGGTGTACGAGAAGAAGAAGAAGAAGGTGCTACAGAGTGACCCCTGCATCCACGGGGCAGCGGAGCATCGTGTGCCTGGGCTCCCCTGGAATGCTGCCAGGAGATGGAAGCTGGGAGGGGGTGGGGTCACTCACCACCAGCACGTGCTCCAGCAGCTCCAGGTACCCGTTGGCACACTCCTTCCCGTAGCGCAGCGCCCGCAGCCGCACGTCCGCGTTCACCTCAGGGTGGTAGGCGGCCTCCTGAAAGCCGGAAAGAGTGAGCATTGCTGAGCCCTGCTCCACAGGCAGCACCGGCCACACAGCCCTGCCCATCACCTAGGCCACTGCCATGGCACCCACACCTTCCAGTGCCTGAAGGACCCACTGCCCCCTAGTG